AATGGGTTGTATTAGACTCTTTACCTTTAATATGCTACATGGAAAGGTTTTAAAAAATTTATCAAGAAAATAGATCCTAAGTTTCATGTACCAAATAATAAAACAAAAATATTATTGCAGACAAATACCTGCAACATCTGTGCCATCTGAAAGGCTTTTTAACGATGTTGGTAATCAAATAACTGCATTTTATTTTTAAAAAGAAATGATTTTTATTGTATATAAATAAAAAATTAAATCTATGAAAAATTTTATAATAGTTATTTTGCTTTAACTAAATATGGCAATGGTAATTTTGTTCGTAACTGGTTAACCGGTTAAAAAAATTAACAGTTTAATGGTTAATTTAACTGGTTAAAATTAATGGTTAACCAGTTAACTGAAGGTTTTAACAGCTAGTTAACCGGTTAAAGAATTTTAAACAGTGCCAATCTCTACTTGAGCTCAAGCTTTGTCCACAACATTCTTTGAATTCAATATCAGATGGATGTGTGTGACAATTTGAGACAGCTGCACCTTCTTTCCCACAATTGATAAAGTTGTTCTTGTAGATGATCTTGGTTTTACTGAATCTACAGCATACATCATTACAAGTTGCATTTTAACACATTAAGATTTTCCAGAGGGGTCTTTTTTTTTGAGAAAGATCAGCAAGATCTACCATCAGAACCAAATAAGGGTTCAGGATGAAGTTCCTCAAGAAGAGGACAAGCAAGAAGAGGAAAGAAGATGATGAAGGCTATGAGGGAAAGAAAAGGATTTTATGAGTTCAATAAAGAAGAACAATTAAAAAGTATTGACAAGAAAACCAAATCAAACTTCAAGAAATGGTGACCTATAATAATAATAATAATAATAATAATAATAATATTTTACTTCTCAAGAAATGAGAGTTTAAAAACAGTGAAAATTTTCCTTAAAATGAAAGGTAAAAGCTCCCTAACTAGACATGAATTACTAATTGATAATCAAGATTATCATACTAAAAAGTCAGTTAATTATTTACCTTATGAGAAGTAATAGTGGTGTCAATGCCTATCTGTTAGGAAGAAAGAAAAAGAAAAATCATGAGATAAGTTTAATAATATTAATTGTTGTCATGTGGCAACTGTTCTTTCTGTTGTAGAGTTAGTATATACATGCTCACTTATACTTGTAATTATTTTCTTCTAATATTCTTTTCTTTTTAGGTTTGATTTAATGTTCCTTTATTAGCTATAGTTTTTCTTTCTTCTTAGTAAATTTCATGGGTAATCCTTTCTTTTATTAGATAAGCTTTAAGTAAGGATACTGGCTGCAACTTTTGATGATGGTTGCTACCACCTTTGCATCATATAAAAATATTTGCAACTGCTGGTTGCAACCACTTTTACAACCATTTTTGTTTCCTTTTTTGGATTGCGACATGGAGCACTAGCTTCAAGTGTCTGAGTATCATTTATTTTGAAATATAGGGAGTGATTTCTCTCTTTGTTCCTTTTTCAAAATACTTCTGATTGTACTATAATTCTTGGGTTCCTAGTATGGTTGGCTCGGTCTAAAGGCCTCCTATTGCTGCGCCAAGCGCTCAAATTTCAAAAATTGCGATTTCGTGATTTTGTTCAAAAATGCAATAAAATTTTTTATAAAAATGGTCACGTGATTTTGGCTAGAAAATTATATTCCTTACTGCCGCCAAATTTAGATATGATGGTCGAGTATTGGTCTAAATTTAGTAATGATAACCAAAAACTAGTCTAAATTTAGCAATGATCATAGTGCTCAAATTTCTCATGAGCATAGTAAAGTAGATGTTTTAAAAAAGAATAGAACTCTACAATAAATAATTTTTTTGAGAAAATCTCTTTATTAGATTAAAACTAAATACATATTCTATCAACTAATAGAGCTATTTTTTTTAAAAGATAGGACAGAAAATGACTTCTATACTTTTAAAATTTGCCCAAAATTTAGGAGGTCTTTAGACCAAGCCACTATACGTAGTAGATCTGATATAATTATATAGTTCATATTAATTATTTTTATATAGGTTATTTTTTTATTATTGCCGATTTTTACCGTTTATGAAATAATCGCTGGTTGTCACGTGAATGAATATCTCTGAAAACCATGCGACCGCGAAAATTTTTGATTGGAAATTTGTTCTCAAAACTGTCACCAAGGCGTGGTAAGCTGCAAGACTAGGTAGATGCATTGTACTATTTTCCCAATAAAAAAAATGAATGAAGGTATTTTTTTCTTGCACATGAAATAACTATTTTAAAAATATAAGATATGTAGTAATAATAGTAAAAGGATTTTTACATCATAATTTAATATTTTGCTTTATAATAAATAATATTTAGCTAAATTCTATAAAGGTAAATTAACTTTTACAACACAAAATAAACATTATCAAAACATCATCTAATAAAATAATTTTATTTTTTATTTCTTTATATATAATAACCAGGGAGTAAATATTATAAATTAACTTTTACAACACAAAATAAACATTATCAAAACATCATCTAATCAAATAATTTTATTTTTTATTTCTTTATATATAATAACCAGGGAGTAAATATTATAAATTAACTTTTACAACACAAAATAAACATCTTCTAATTAAATAATTTGTTTTTTATTTCTTTATAATAACCGGGGAGTAAGTATTATATTTTAACACAAAATAAACATTATCAAAACATCATCTAATTAAATAACCTTATTTTTTATTTCATAGATGGTAAGTATTATATCATAAATTAACTTTTAAAACACAAAATAAACATTATAAAAACATCATCTAATTATATTATAAATTAACTCTTACAGAACAAAATAAAACATCATATAATTAAATAATTTTATTTTTTATTTCTTTATAATAACCAGCTAGTAAGTATTATATTGTATTATAAATCAACTTTTATAATTTTTATATCTAATCAATAACTTTATTTCTTTATTATAATAACCAGCTGGTAAGTAGTATATTATAAATTAACACAAAATAAATTTACTAAACATCATCTAATTGATAAATATTTGTAATAACCAGGGAGTAAGTATCATATTATGAAATTAACTTTTACAACACAAAATAATTTTTATTAAAATATCAACTAATCAATAAATTTATTTTTCTTCATGATAAACAGCATGTAAGTAACTTCTATAACATAAAATAAATTTTTATAAAATCATCTATTAAATAATTTTTATTTTTTCATAATAACTAGCTGGTAAATATTATGTTATATTATAACAAAATAAAATTTATCAAAACCTTGTCTAATTAAATAAATTTATTTTTTGTGTATAATAACTTACAATTGAAGGTAAAATAATTTATAAATTTATCTTTTTTACAACTTTTGCTTGGAATGAATTCTATTTTTATTATGCTGAAAAGTAATTCTATTTATTTTTAATTTTTATAATGAAATGATAAGATATTACTAAAGAGTTTAAAGATGAAAGAAAAAGAGAATATGGGACCTGCTCTGTTTGTGCAAGATATAATACTAATGACCAGTGGTGTCAATAATGTGATCCCAAATTGTTGGCTCAAAGTTGGACTAGCAGTGGTAATAAAAAATTGGATGAAATAATCAGAAATACACAGCTTGAAGCCAAAGGATTTGATTATCTTGAATGGATTCCTTATGACCAACTCACAGTTAAAGAAGGAATAGGTGAAGGTGGTTTTGCAATTGTATATAAGTGTTGCTGGTCAAATGGTCCTAGATATATTTATAAGAATATGAGATATTATTGTAAAAGTGGTTATGTGGCATTAAAAAAGTTTAAAAACTCACAAAATGTTTCCAAAGAGTTTTTAAAAGAGGTAAATAATTTGAAATAATTAATTAACAATTTAAATCATACATTCATTTTTTGTTAATTTTCATAAAGCTTCAATATCACATTAAATTTATAGGACCTTATCACAAGGGTATTGCTAATATTTATGGCATTTCACAAGATCCAAATACAAAAGAATATGTTCTCATAATGAGATATGCAGACAAAGGAGATTTTAAAAAATATTTACAATCAAGATATACAAGTTGGAATAATAAAATTAAAATACTTTATGACATTATCTCAAGTTTAAATGCATTACATCAAGAAAAACTTAAACATGGTGATCTTCACAGTGGTAATATTTTATATTTTTCATATTTATCCCAGGCAATGATTACAGATTTAGGGTTATCAGGCCAAACTGATCAAGAAACATCAAGTGAAAATAGTATTATTGGAGTACTACCATATATTGCACCGGAGGTGTTAAACAAGAAACCTTATACACAAAAATCAGACATCTATAGCTTTGGGATCTTAATGTCGGAATTATCAACATGTCAACAACCATTCAAAGATCAACCACATGATCTAGAGCTTGCTATCAAGATCTGTAGTGAACCCTGAAATAACAATGCCCAATTAATATTAATTTGTATAATATCAAAGAAGGAATATCAAATAGAAAAGCTATAATGAAAATAATGAATCAAAAAAGAATTGTAACATCATTTAATAGAATAAAATAATGGATCAAAAAATAAAAGCTTTTAACCAATTGACCATTTGGACAGAAAATCAAAAAAGTGTATACTTATTAAAAAATTAAACTATGTTGATAATAAAGACCTTTCCCATCTCCAAGGTTATCTGTTTTTTACATGCGGATACTTTTTTAAAACAATTTACGCAAGTCCAAGACTGAGGTCATCTGACCAAACTTCTGTTTTTTATAACAGAGATCATAATTGGTGAAAACAACAGGCCTTTTTTGCTTAATAGAAAAATGAGTAAACGACTTTTAATTAATACATAAAAGCAATTATAATAAAATTTTTATTTTTGATAATCTGCAAAATTGCCAAGTACATAAATAAAAATCAGAGTTTTGGCAGATTAATTCATTCTACCTTATTTTTAATATTTTTCACATGTTTATTTTTTAAAAAATGTCTATTATATTGATAAAACATTATATTTCATTTCTATTACTTTTGTAAACAATCATCCATTAATTCCTCAACTTTAACCTGACCATTTTGAATCTTTTCAATCATCCTGATCAAGTCATAATTAATTTCCTGAGTAACGACAGAATCTTGATTATATTTTGGATGATTTTGTACAAAGTTTCTCATCCATTTTGCTGTTGTTTGCAACTTACCTATATAAAAAATATTTTACGGAATGGTTTTTTTAAAAACTCAATCATCACCAAAAGAAATTTTTTTTTCATAAGTAACATACCTTCAGCTCTTTTACTAACAAATCTTAGATATTTTCCTAGCATACATCTAGATTCTATGTCTACATTGATTGATTCTAAATATCTGAAAATTAATGAGATCAATCCAGGAAATTTGTCCTAAATTTTTTTTTTAATTTATTTATTTTAAACAAGTATTGTAATAATAAATAATAATAAATAAATTCAATTTTAAAAGACTTACATTTCCATTAAAAATTTCATTGATGGTCATTTTTTGATATTCATCATCTATATTGTCACTAAAACTATTACAACTATGATTATTATCATCATTACCATTTTTGTTGTCATTATTATTATTATTATTATTATTATTATTATTATTGATATCATTAATCATACTACTAAAACTATTACTATTAATATCATGACCATTCATAAACTCATTGTCATTATTATTGTCAAAGGATGAAACATCGTTGTTTTTAGTGGAAGTGGTAGTAGTAGATGATGATGATGATGGTGATGATGATGATGATGATGACGATGATGATGAAACATTATCTGTATTATATAAGGTATTTTCTGATGTGTTGTTCAGTATTGGTGAATTTTCTAATAAAGTTGTTTTAATTAGAAAAAATAAAGTTCCTTGATTAATTCTCAGACTTTTTTCTTTAATATACAAAAAAACCAAAATGTTTACCATTTTCCAAAATGTTTTTTCTAAACCAAAACTTTTCATTTAATACTGCATCTTTATTATGAGCTATCCTCATATTCTCATCAACCTTTTGAATAATTTTTAACAAAACATATCAGTGAATAATAATATTATTAATAGATCAGAGAATCAAGCATGCAATAATTTCAGTTATTCTTGACATAATCAGTGCATGTCGATGAATTCAACAACTGGTTTAGGCATGCCCCCAATTGAAATTATATAGCATGTTATATATGTTCATAGTAAGAATATAAATAAAAAAATGTCAAATACTTACTTTTGAAATAGGAATATAAAAATTTAAGTTATAACTTAAAATTATCCTAGTCAACAATACAATAAATATTGCAAAAGCAGCATTCTCAAAATCTGTTATTTGTATCTCCATACTACGAAATTCCACTCTCCAGCCTATATTTGAATTGGGTGGTGGTGGTTTGAATCTCATAGTTTGCCAATTTGTTGACTGTATGTTCTGCAAATTTACATTAATATATATATATATATATATATATATATATTGATTACTAATCTATCAACATATGTATATATATATATATATATATACCAGGGTTGGTCATGGTACCAGTCCATCAGTAAGTCCATTGGTGTAATATTTTAACCATATTTAGTAATTTTATTAATGACAATGTGACCATACCAAAACTCATTGGTCCCAATGGACCTAGTCTATTGCCAACCCTGATATATACATAAATAGATTTATCTATTTATTAATGTTTTTTTACCTCAAAATGGTCAGAAGAAATATTATCATCTTGATCTAACAATTCCTCGAAAATAACTAAAGGATCTCTAATAAACAAATGTGAAATATGACGTGCCAAAAGTTCATCAATTCCTAAATTGATGAATTATTTCTTTTCTTTTTAAAAAAAAGATATATATTGAAAAAAAAAATAATGATAAAAACAGTAATATTTACCATTGTCAACTAATTTTTTAAATATTTTTTCATCATAAACCAAATCCAAATCATTATATTCAGGCTTGAGGGTTTTATCTGTTGAAATGTAGCAATCAATTGAATCATAACGTGATTTGTTGATGACAAATCGATCATTTTTCAATGGCTAAAAAAAAATGATAATTTTTATTTAAGTATGTTAAGTTTTTTTAAATAAACTTATATATTTGAACCAATAAATAAAATGTAATAGATATATATTCATTATTATGTGAAATTACAAAGAACACAAAACCTCTAGACCACGTTCTTCTTTAGTACGATCATCAACACTTCCAGCTATAACATCCCATCTACAATCAACATCTGATAAATAGCCACGATAAATTGGTGCAGCTGCTGTTAAAGCCAACTAATTAATTAATTAATCAAAAGTAATTTTTTAAAACAACGACAACAATAATAATCTAACGAACATAAATTTTAAGCAAATTTTTATATTAAAAATTTTTTTTGATGATTAAAAATTACCATTATAGGACCAATAACTGCCAATTGATCATATAAGCGTCTTGCTTCTTCAATATTACATGCTTGAAAAGTGATTTGTAAACAGCAACAACCCATACCAAATACCATGGAATCCATATAAATATGATCTGGTAAGGCAGCACCTTCAACAGCCTCTTTATCTTCAGGAAATAGATTGCGATCATATGTAATTTTTGGATCTATAAAAGGGTTTGGCGTGTTTTTATCATGAAAGATGGGCATATTGATTGCTACTTTGGATCCTCGACGTTTACGAATATTCGCAGTAAGTGTTCTAAAAAAAACCAATTTTTACATTTTATTACTATTACTATTATCACTATCATTTTTATAGACAACTTGGTAATAAACAACTGGTGGAAAAAATAATAATAATAATTACGGGAATCTTGCATGTGGATTAATTAATTCATCAGGTACAAATAAACTTCTTGATGCATTTCCATGTGGTTCATAATGTGGTTCCAAAAATTGACCTTGACAACCAAGACGAGGAAAGCTTGTAACAGTGACAATTGTTTCATTCTGTCCTAAATGTTTTGTTACAACAAGTCTCCTTAATTTCATATTTGGTTCAACCTTAAGCAAATCTTTTATAGTTCCGCCGTAAGGATTTCCAGGAGTGCCTTTTGTTTATTAATTATGATATAAACATATATCTACAATGAGAATTTTTATCATCATTAAAATTTTTATTTTTTTTTTATTAATAATAAATAAGATTTTATACCTTCAATCATATATGCTCCATATTCTGGCCTCCATAAAGTTTCTAGCACTTTTCTATAAAAATTTATATATTTAATTTATAATAATAATAATAATAATAATAATAAAATAAAATTAACTTATAATGATCATGTTTAAATATCGATTTATAATTTAATAATCTTACCCTGAATTTGGATTATCGTTCAATTCATCTTCTTCTTTTTGTAACTCTTTTAAAATCTCAAATGCCCTTAATGCCAATTTCGCGTTTTTAGTTTCATGATCATACACGATAACCATATATTCTACCTAGAAAAAAAAAACCATTTAAATTAAAAAGAATACTGTTTTCTAAAGAAAATTTATTAACAAGGTACGTTTGTTTTTTACTTACCTCATCACCCCAAACAAGACAGTTTTTTTGTCTATTTTTCATTTTTTGATATATTGATAAAAATTGATGAATTCCATGCTCACGAACATAATCTGAATATTTTTTTGCTTTCTCCCAAGGAAGTGGTGTTCCAAGTGTTAAGAGTCCCATTTATTATTATTATTATTATTGTTTAAAAATTTTTTTTTTTTTTTCGTTCTTTTTTATACTTATCGTGAAATGTCAAACTTTTAGTTCATAGTTCGTAGTTATAGTTTTGATTTAGATTAAAATTTCATTCTACATATCAGACAGATAAATTAATTTCTTTTTAGTGTAACAATAATGTACAAATAATGCAAAATAAAGACTAAACATCTAATACTAAGTCGGATTCGGGGTAATTTATTACGCAATGGATAAAATAATTAACGACTTATATTTATTATTATTATTATGTAATACAGGAAAAAATTCGAGATTCTCGTATATGTTAACAATTGCTTTTGCTACTTTTTAATTTGACCAAGGCTTCTATGGTTTACGCTTTTCAATCTTGCATATTCTTGAATCACGGATTAATCAGTTTTATACGAGAAAAGTCAAAATCCAAGATCTCAAGAAGGCACTCTGCTCATAGCTATATATACTTGACTAGGCATGAACATATTTTCATCGATGTTGTTAGTTGCATGAGGTAATGTCAATCCTTGGGTTTTGTGCACGGTAAGAGCAAAGGGTAAATTTCTTTTTGCACGATCACCTTTGTGTGAACTTTGAAAAAGTTATTAACTTTTTGAAATTACTTTTAAGGAAGGATGTAATATTCGTTCTCCCCAAGACCATATCTGATTGAGTGAAAATCTTCACTTTAATTCTGATCGATGATGTTGTGATTGATTGTGTCTGCTGCAGCTGATATAAATGGGCTAAAGCTCTCTTCACTGAGGCTAATTAAATTTTTGTAAAATCTATTTAATTTAGAAAGAGTTGGTTGGTTCACTTAGTTGTGCCGCACCAATTAATTACAAGTCAGAAATTATGTTTAATTTTTTTTTGGCATAAAAGTTAATTCAATTTCCAGTTCCAACATTCCGGTGAAGTACTTCAAATAATGCTTGTAATAAAAATATTATTATACAGTCATTAAGATGACGGTTTGATAAAACGAATGAATATACATGATAAACTGATGCTTTTTATTAAAATTTTATTTTTGTGAAACATATTAATATTCAGTTTAATGAGTTTTGACTGTATTTGGATTCAGGTATATATATGTTTTTTCTTATTATGTGGCGTAGTAAGATTAAAAAAAGATCAAATGCTTATCTATATTTCTAGATAATGATTTTACATGAATAATTCTCAAATTTCTAAACGCACTACTAAATAATAATATTAATCAAAATTTTCTAAATAATGATTTTACATGAATAATTCTCAATTTCTATATATATTGATAATGATGAGAATAATGAAATGCCAACCGAAGAGGAAATTCTTAATTCTATTAAAGAGGAGGATGTTATTATAAGCAGTACAACTAATCCTAATTTTACAATAAATGAAGCGATAAAAGTTTCTTGAACAAACTATATAATGGATTAAAAGCTTTAAAATCATTGAAAAAGAAATAAAATCATATAGCATTCAAAATTCAATATAAACAAACATCACTAGTTTTTTCAGTAAATAATTGACTATATATAATTAACATTTTAATTTTTGTAGTTAAATTCGCGCGTTTCAACGGATTTTAAAAATCTTTGTTACACATTATTATTACGATTATCCAGTGGTGCTATAAAATATATCATTTTTTGTTCAAGAAATAAAATGAAGAAAATAAACAAATGATAATTACGAGTGTCTTGTCTTTTTTGTAAATGTTCGATATTAGTTGATTGAATCAGGCTTGTAAACTGAAAGATGAAAATATGACCTATCAGGAGCAGGGCTGGAAATAGTACTTTAAAAATCCGGATTTTCCTTTTAAAATTTTTAACTTCCGGAAAAAAAAAGAGTTGCCGGATATTTTTCCTTTATTTTTTTTTTTTTGTACAGATTTTCCATATGCATAAAAAAAATTACCAAAATTTAATATATATACATGGGGCATGCTGCAACAAAATCAGACAAAGTGAACATTAATCACATTATGAAATGACTAAATTTTGAACCCTGAAATTCTTGGTAATATCAATGTTCACTTTGTCTGGTTTTGTTGCAGCATGCCCCAAATTATCATATTCATAGTTTCTCATCTAATGGGTATAAACATTTAGGTTTATTTGATCATTGGAATTTTCATATTAGTCCTTTTATTATTATAAGAAGGTAATTTTACATTAAATTTTTTTTATTAGTATTAGTTATTACTTATATATATATATTGTTGATGTATTTTAAGCTCCTCATAGTTCAGGCTAATTATGGGGATTAGAATCATGTAAAAAACTAAATCTTTAGTTAACCAGTTGGTTAATAATCACAACTTTGGCTTATTTAGTTAGATCATATGAAATTATTTATTTGTTAAATGGTATTTAGTATTAGCCTATAACTATTTATATCATCATCTAATCATTACAATAAAAATTTTTTCTTTTCTAAAAAATAAAATTTATTAAGAACTGCATTAAATATTAAATACAACAAATGTAAGAAAGATGCTCTGCCACCAAAAAAAACATTTTTAGTGTCAGCAATAATAAAAGTTAATTCAATTGATGTTTTAAATTAAATACTCACTAATGCTAACTAATCAGAATCAATAACAATAAAACAATGCTTTCCTTAAAATATAAAATAAACAAATTTATTAAAAGTGATCTTTGTCACACTAACCAAATAGTTCTCTGTCCGTTCGCTTGGGAAAAGTTATTATTATTATTATTGCACGATAAATGTTTATCACGTGGAAAAAATCCTTCTCAAAGAGATTTTTTCTATCCATATTCTGCATTGATCACTCCCTTCATTTCACCTCGTCTCGCGATCACTAAAAATCAAGAAATAAAACACGGCACAAAATTGGGTTGGTCATGCCAAAAACCAAAAAAAAACAAAATATAAACTTATTGTAAGGAGTAAACATGCTTGATCCAAGGAGTCAATGTGCTTGATGTAAGAAAGAAACGTACCTGATGCAAGGAGTCAACGTACTTGTTACAATGAATCAACGTGCTCGATGCAAGAAAAAAGCGTACTTGATACAAGGAGTAAACGTGCTTGATGTAAGAAAGAAACGTACTTATAACAAGGAAACAATATGTGTATTTTGATATAATGCATAAAGATTCTTTATCTTTTTAATTGAAGTTTTTTTATTACAGTTTCTTTTTGGTCTGGTATTTTCTTTTTTTTGCTTGCGATTTTTTAGATTTTTGCTTTAGATTTTATTTGATCCTAAATAATGTATGTCATTTAATTAATATTATTATATTGAAAAATTATAAATGATAAAATTGAATATCTACTGCTATTATCATTATCATCATTGTTTCTAATTGTATTATTATTACTGTGTTATTGTTGGAAGTATCAAAGTATAAATATTATTGTTGAAATTTATTGAGACCAAAAGTTTAATCAAAGTAAATAAAATTTTCCTTTCTAAAAAATCATTTATTTCAAGAATCGAATTAAAATATATTTAATCTCTTTGTAAATAATCAAGGAAATAATATACATAAGTACGAATTACAATATATTCAATTAAATGAGTAACAAAAAAATTAAATATTGTAAAAAGCAATATTGCAATATTTAATCTAGATATTCAAAAATATGCCTAAAAGCTTCCCCTTTTCAATAAAACCATGTTTCAATGAATCTATGGACACATAAGAAAATAGCATTTAAATATACCAAAATTATTAACCGTGAAATAAAAATTTTAAAAATTCGTTGTTAATTATAATTCGTTGAAACAAGATTTGTCAAAATTAGGTTTGACCGTACTAATAATTAATATTTTCTTGCCGATTATCCAATATGCATGGAAAAAACCTTTCAAAAATTTAGAAAGAAATTCAATTTCACCTGATAGACTCTCCATCTACTCATCTCTTACTACATTTTCTAATTCATCAACTCAAAACAACGGTCCATCTACTAGAAGAATGTATTCATCAACCCCAAGATCATGTTCATAAGAACTTGTTCTCCAACCTCAATGTCATGTTCACCTTCTACCAGAAGAACACTTTCACCAACTCAAATATCATGTTCACCTACCAGAATATCAGCTTCGCCAGCTCAAAGATCATGTGAAGAACAAATCACGATTAATTTAGAAGTGATGAGATAGCTTAAGTTTTGAGCTTCCTTTTAAATGAAGCTTGGATAAGAATGGCAATATTTTCCCAGTAACACTCGGTTGGTTAATCCTGGCTCTGTTATCCAGCCTTCAGTTTCACCGGAACCCATTCCAGGTTATCAAAAAGCAAAAGAGCAATTCACGAAAAAATGACTCTTAAATTTAAGCCTTCACATAGTTTAAAGTTCTATATTAGGACAAAGTGCTCCAGGTTCTACTGGTTTAGGAAATTCATTTACAGCTTGATCTCATTCATACTTGGGCTGAAATACAAATAACGTATCACAACAAATCATGCTGGCGATAGACCAAGTAGTGGTATAATCAAGTTTTTAATTAGTTCTTTATTAATTGGTTTTATTTACATAGATCAGAAAGATCCTTCGTGGAGCTGCTGAGGTAGGAGAACAACTCTTTCATGTGAAAATCAAAAGGAAGCGTTGGTATGATGATAATCATGTCGATAACGTACAAACTGGAAATAGAAGTGGGCGAATCAAGCACAGCAGTTCAAGAAAGGACTTCTGTTATTAAGTAGCATTTTGGGAGAAGGCCTAAAGAATTGGGAAGATGGAGAAGAGGAGAAAAAGAAGAAAATTATTATATATATTAAATTGTTATCTATATTTAATATGTATTGTTAGTATTAATATTAAATTGAATAAATATGTTTAGCTATCGAAAACCAATATACTAATGATTATTATAAAATAAATATAAAGCTATTAGTAAACTGATAAACACATTGAGGTATCAGCTAAAAAAATTTTATCTGATACTTCAATAATATCTTGTTGAATCGTATTTATATATATTAATGCTATAGATAATTGCAAGTAAGATTTAATTAAGCTTTTAACAATTATCGTGTACATACCATACCAGTTTATCTAAAATTGATACCCCGACACCCACCTATATGTAACCTAATCTGTCAAAGATCAGTAGCGATTAAATTTTTTTAAAGTATCAGCAAATATAGGTACATACTGTACAAGTGAGGTATTGGGATATTTTTGCCTTTTGCTCTTAATATCCCTTTTCCATGAATTTATCAAAACTTCACATATTACTTATTTTGTCTAATAATATTTTTGATCAAGAGCATGCTAGAATTAATGTTGAATTATTGATAAAGAAATTAACTTACCAATGCATTCGATGGATGGACAAATCTACCGGATAATCTATTTGATTATTGTTTAATTAATGAATATTTTTGGTGTTTTAAGAATTATTCCCTTATCATACTGACACATTTCTTGATGATGAATTATTAAAATTGTAAAAGGTATTGGTCCTAAAAAATTGGCTGCAGATGACAAATAGATCATAAAATTGTCGATGGAGGATGTGTGTTGCTTATTCATGGCAGTATATGGTAATTTTTTACAATAAGAAAACGTAAACAGGTCATTCCGTTCTAACATTAATGAGTAAATTTTATTATTTCAATTAATCCATATATTAGTAATAAAAGCGTTGACAATCATTATAACTTATTGGATCTTCTGATGATAAATTAAAAAGCAATTACAACAATAGGTTTTTTGTAAAAATATTAATAAATTTACATCTTTGGCGACTGGCTTTTTACTTTTACATGGAGAGAACGAAACCCGAGTATAATGATGGTACTTCATACCAAAAACATCTGAAGACAATGATAAAAATGGATACTGACTGACTGGTTTGACTGGTTAGGCAATGAATGAAATGGTGTGAAACAGGAGGTATTACATTAAAAAAAAATTATTACCAAATTTGGTCACATAGCTCAAAATAGATATCTTGAGCCTCCTCGAAGCCCTATAATTTATTTAAATTGTATTAGTGTGCATTGTTTACATATTGTGTAGCACTTGGCTATTTTAAATTATTTTTATCGAAATGTATTAACATCCAACTTTTTCCTTTTTTTTCCTTTTTTCCTCTTTTCCTCTTTTCCTCTCCCTATCTATCTCTCGCACGAAGCTACTACATTCATTACAATTATTTATTTAATTTTAATTTTTATTTATAATGTCAAGGTTTTTAACATTTTCAACATTATTAATATCATTATTTATAATATTTTTTCCTGAACAAATTTCATCACAATGCATGTCCTTTAATCCATTGGATCGGAATATAAAATTCCTCCCATGTCCATTAACCAAAGGCCAATCAAATAAACACAATCAACAAACTTCACCCGGACAAAAATTTTCAGTGTCTTTAAAGTGTACAGCTGATCAGCAAACTTGTCAACAAGTTCAAGGCAGTTTCGATGCTGCTGGAAAATTTATAACAAATACTTTTATTTTGAATACAATCACTGTGAATGCTAGTTTTATATCATTTTGTGAGGGACAACCTAATTGTTCACAAGATAATATTTTAGGTATTATATAGTATTTATAATTAAATATTATCATTAATAATTAATTAACTAATCTAACTAATTAATAATTTATGAATTAGGAGCGGCAGCACCAGAGAGATTTATTCCAATGTTAGATGATGACGGGATACAAAGATTGTACCCACAAGCATTAGTAAAGCAATTTAATTATGAAACACATCCAGAGTATGGACAATTTGATATTATAGCATTATTTAATTCAGATGCTGCATGGTGGTTTTCATCATCACCATCTGCACCGATAAATTCAACTCAATACGACTTTTTATATACTTTAATACATGAATTGTTTCATGGGTTAGGGTTTGGTTCTTCGTGGGATGAACATTATTCTGGTATATTAACTCCAGTTCCCGGACCAAATCCTTTAACAGCCAATGGATCATCAACATCAACATCAGTAGATTTAAATGATAATGATTATATCAAATTTTATGAATGGGCTTTTGACAAATATATAAAACTCTTGAAAGATGGAACAAATCTTACCACGTATGCTCAAGAAATAAATAAATTTTTCACTGGTGAATATACAAACATTACGGGATCACAGTTCGAATCTAAATTTAAAGGCTCACCTCAATACAATATCGCAAAGAACATGGATCTATTGGCTGTAACAGCAAACTCACTTGGCTTTATTCCTACCATTAATTTTACAAATGTAAATGATTCAGCAGTGATATTAGAAACTTCATTAATACCTTACAGAGTCGGTTCTAGTATAAGCCATGTAGACAAAAAATTGTATGCAAATACTTCTGATTTTTTAATGAAATATGATTCTGAGACAGGTGTTTCTTTGGATCAATTGGTTTCAAGAGGCGGGAATTATTCTGGTGGACCAATTGGACCAAAATTAAAATTGGTTATGGAAACTTTGGGGTAATTATTAAAAAAAAAAGTTTTTTTTTTTTAAAAAAAATTTATTATTAAATATTTATATTTTATTACTAGGTATGCTACACTAGAAAATCCAAATCCTTACAAACCTCAGATAATTCCTTCAAATAAAAATAATAATAGTAATAATAATAACAGTGATAATAACCAAAATCCTGATAAAAAATCTTTGGAAAATAGCATTATATTTAATAATAAAAATAATAGTTATATCGTTATTTTTATAATAAATATAATTATTGCTAATTTACTTTCTTCGAATCACTAAGAAGACTTTAATAGAATAGAATAGATTTAATCAATATTTTTAAAAAAAAGAAGAAAGATAATAAAAACACAATACATTCATGTCTGGTGTAAGTAACTAATAATATTAGTTTAAATTTTAAAGAGTGATTGATAATATCAAGTAGCAAAGATCTATGCTAAAAAAATATTCTCTACATAATAAATAGGGAATGGTGGTTATAGAATCTTTCGTATTATATTACTTAATTATAATGAAATCCAGGGTGTCAAAATCTATAATCTGCTATTGGCACCACTTATAAGATAGACTTTATCATTACTAATTACTGAATGCTAACGATGCGCCAGATGTTATTAATATTAATATTAAGAAGCGAAGATTAATTAATGGGTGCGATTTTCTTTTAAAAAAAGAAAAGATTTTTTTTGCTTCTAGAATTTTACTTCATTTGATAAGACAATGAAAGAATTGATCGATATGGTGCATGCATGGTATTTTTTTACCAAATACAAATACAAAATAAACAATTAATCCGATAGAATAATTTTAATTCTTGCCTTTTTTTTTGATAAACCCTGAACATCTTTTCTCCCTAAAAAGTGACATTTCCATACATGAGGTATCGTGTTTTTGATTAAAATAAAGATTATTTCCTCTTTCAAAGAATACAAAACGAATAAAAGTTGAAAAGTTTTCAGAAATAATTTTTTATAAAATAGTCGCGTACTTAATGTCACGTGTGGTTAAAAGCACACGACAAGTAATTTTCACATTTTTTATTATAAATTGTATTACAATATCTAATCGTTCGCTGAGAAAGTAATTATTTCAATATATGTTTTTTATTTTTGTTTATAAATTGATTTGATAAATAAATAGTTGTTTATAAATTTTTATAATTTGATTAATTTCACCAGATTATCTTTATTAACTCCTACCAAAAAAAAATCTTTTTTTTTATCTTAAATAGATTTTAAAAACAAAACATTTTATCAAAATTCTTCCCATTTTTCAAACAATCATAACAACGATAAAACAAATAACAAATAATATCATAAACAAATAGCAAATAACAAATAAAGATGACTGAAATTTATCCAGAATCAAGATTAACTGATTTTGTCGAAAGACCAGACTATGGTACTAAAGGAAGAGCAATAAATGTCAGAACAAACTTTTTCAGAATTACCTCTTTACCAGAATCGAATATCATTCACTACGATGTTACAATTTCACCAGACGTACCACCTGTGATAAATAGAAAAGTATATGAAGAATTTGAAGCACTCCATAGAAATGAAGCCTTAGGTGGAATAAAACCAGTTTTTGATGGTATAATTTTTTGTGTTTATATAAAAATAAATAATAAAAAATAATAACAAAATGACGTGTTTTTATTTGTATTATTTTGTTTATCCAAATTATTTTAAAAGATTTTCATATGTTTGTGTACTAAAACTATCGATTTTTAAAATTCTAAAGGTCGTAAAAATGTTTTTTCGCCAAGACCTTTAGCCTTACATGAAGATGCAGGAACTTTTGATGTAAATCAATGATCACGATAAACATTTTGATTTGGATCTGATCGATCAATAAATTTCAATAATCCACATGTCGTATTTTGATCAAATTAGGTAACTATTCCTGAAGATGATAGTATTACAACTAGCAAACGTCCTCCTCGAATTTTCAAAATTAAAATAAGGAAAGTAGGCGTCATCAATATGGATGAACTCATTCAATATACAGAAAGAAAAGGTCGTCTAACTCCTAGTGTTTTGACTGGTAAAAAACATTTGATTGATCTAATCATAAAATTTAATATTTTAATATTTCTATTAAATAAACAAATAGATTGATAAGTTATTGATTGTCTTATTTAAATATAACAATTTTATTAATAAATATATTTATTATTTATTTAATGATTAGCATTGATGGCACTTGATGTTCTTATCAGGCATCAACCTTCTATGAAATATATCACCGTTGGTCGATCATTTTTCACACCTACTGAAGCTACACCTCTTTTTGGAGGTTTGGAAGTTTGGAGAGGCTTTTATCAATCTGCTAAGCCTGGCCAAAGTAAATAATCATTATTTTTTTTTTTATATTGATATTTTTTCTTTGCTGAATCATTAAATATATATCTCCCTCCTCCCCAATTCCAATACAATTATAGATAGAATGTTTATCAATATTGATCTTAGTGCAACTGCTTTTTATGAATCATGTCCATTAATTGTAATGGTTACAAAGATTTTGGGCCGTCGTAACCCTGAAGATCTTAGAAGAGGAATGAATGATAAAGACCATCAGAGACTTGAGAGAGCACTCAAAGGCTTAAAAATACGCGTTGTTCATCGTGGTGATACTACTGCCAAAAGAAAATTTAAAATCAAAGGAATTACCCCCACTCCTGCAGACAGAACAGTCTTTAATAGCGCCGAAGGTCAAATGAATGTTGCAACATATTTCGCCAACACATACGGTCGTCGTCTTAATCAACCTTTTCTTCCTTGTGTTGTTGTGAGAAACGACGTGTTCCTTCCAATGGAAGTTTGTGAAATTGTCGAGGTAAATAATTAAATAAATAGATCAATTTATAAATTTATACGCGTGTACCTATATACACATTAATCAATATATTCCTTTCTTTTATTTAAAAGAATCAAAGATTTTTACGAAAATTAAATGACAAGCAAACTGCTGATATGATTAAATTTACCTGTTTACAACCACATGTCCGTGCAAATAAGATTTTAAACGGAATAACTTTGCTTAATTACCGAGACAATGAATATTTAAGACAATTTGGCCTTAGGGTTAATGGTGAAATGGAAGTGGTACGTCAAACCTGTTTTAATATGTTAATCAATCATTATTATAATCATCATTATTAATATCATTCATATTTGTTATTGTTATTCTTATTATTAAAGATTCCAGCTAGAATTTTACCAACGCCAACCGTTCAATATCATGCTTCATCCCGAGAATCTAATTTCCAACCAAGAGATGGTGTTTGGAACTTAAGAGATAAAAAAGTTGCAACTGGTTCTACATTAGGTTCCTGGTCTGTGGTTGTGTTTAGTTCTGAACGTGATCTTCCACTTTTATCCATTAAAGCATTTATTAGAGAACTTGTCGTGACATGTCAAAACACTGGAATGGTATTATAAATATAATATTAATGAATATTAATAACCTTATTCTTCTTTTTTATTGTTCTTAATTAATAATTAACTAATTAATTAAAAAAAACTATGATTAGAAAATTCCAAATGTAAATCCTCCGGTGGTTCACGCAAATCCTCAAGGAGACATAGAAGGAACACTGAAACAAGCATGGCTTCGTGCTGGTAACCATGCTAAAGCTCAGCCGCAGCTAATATTATGTGTTTTACCAAACACGGGTGTTGATTTATATGCAGAAATAAAGCGAGTATCCGATACAGTTATTGGCGTTGTAACACAGTGTGTTCAAGGACGTAATACGCTGTCACCAAAAAAACAATACTGTGCAAATGTTTGTCTCAAGATGAATGTCAAACTTGGTGGAATGAACTCCTTTTTAGATCCCAATGAAATCCCATTTATTAGTGAAGTACCGACAATTCTGATGGGTGCTGATGTTACCCATCCATCACCAGGCAATAATCTTATTGTTATTAAATTAATATTTAATTATGTTATTATTTATTCTTCTTGTTAAGATTTTTCTATATTTATGATATTTAGGATCGACAAATAAACCATCTATTGCTGCATTATGTGCATCTATGGATGCCAAGGCATCAAGATACGCTGCTTCGATTAGAGTCCAGAGTGGCAGAACTGACATTATTGCTGACTTGTCAAGTATGGTGAAAGAGTTATTGAAAACATTTTATCAAACATGTGGTAGAAAACCAGATAGAATATTATTTTATCGAGATGGTATTTCTGAAAGTCAATTTTCCAAAGTTTTGAAGGAAGAAATAAATTCCGTTAAAGGTATATATGTGTGTGTGTGTGATAATGAGAATAATGATAATGATGATAAATTGATCAATTAATGCAAAAATGCATGCAAATATATTCATAATTATAATTAGTTGCGTGTCAAGCACTCCAAGCTGATTATTCACCAAAGATCACCTTCGTAGTTGTTCAAAAACGTCATCATACTCGATTTTTTGCAATGGATAAGAAAGATGCTGATAATACTGGCAATTGTTTGCCAGGAATAGTCGTGGAGCGTGATATCACAAGTCCCGTAGAATTTGATTTTTGTAAGTCGTATTTTATTTTATTTATTTATGATTTACATACCATTCATATATTCATATTCGTTTTATATGTATATCATTAGATTTACAAAGTCAAGCAGGCTTACAAGGAACATCTCGCCCAACTCATTATCGCGTGCTTTATAATGAAAATAACCTTCGAGCAGACCAGTAAGTTACACTACTGTTGTTGTTGTCATTATTATCATTATTAATCAATAAATATTCTTTTTATAATACAGAATTCAAACTTTATCTTATAACTTGTGCTATTTATACGCGAGATGTACACGATCCGTCTCATTGGTACAGATCAATAATTATTGTCTTTGTCATACACTTTTCTTCTGAAACAATTAATGTTGTATTAACACTAATGAATAAAATTGATAGGTTCCACCAGTATATTATGCCCATTTAGTATGTAATCGAGCACGTTTCCATTCTCGTGCACAATGGAGTGACACTGAATCATCTGAAAGTGGAGGTATCGCTTCAACGTTTAGTGTTGTCAAACCCGAATTACAAAAGGTAACCATTATACATATGGTTTTGTTATTACAATTGGATTGGAATTTATATTTATTTATTTATTTATTTATTTTATTTAGGTCATGTATTTTATGTAAGGGATAGAAGAGGGCAGAGACGATGATGAAAATTTAAAATTTTTTATATTTATTTCAAAGTATTTTATGTAATGGATAGAAGAGGAAGGGTAGAGACTATGAAAAGATTTTATAATTCAAATATAGATAGAGTTCGCTAATATTTATTATTACATTTAAAAACTTCAAGTTAAAATTTAAAAATTTAAAAAAATTATAATACTTTAAAATTTAAAAAAAAATCAAATTATTTATATATTTAACATGGATAGATAGATATATAGATTAATTATTATTATTGGCATCATTTTGTTAGCATTCATTTTTAAATTTTTAATTTATTGTTAATCATTATTGCATTACGCTAATTAAAAAAATTTTATATATTTATATATTTAAACAATGAATGATACAAATCATCGTAATAAGTAGATGGTTGTTGATCTGACATATTATCCATTTCATAAGTGAATTAATTTCTTTTTTTTTTTTTAAAAGATAATTTACTGTATTAATAATATTAATAATGTCAAATTCATATAGAAAATTATATGACACATAATAAAGATTTAATGAGAATTCTTTTTCCTTTTTATTTATGAACTTCTCTTGTAATATTTCTATTTCAAATTTATTTTATTCTAGAAAATATATTAATAATTGATTAGAATAAATATAATTTTGCTATTACATAATGATGATAAAAATACAGATTAAAGCAACAAATTATATTAATAGAATTAAAAACCCATAATGGTACTAACAAATTTATCCACTTTGTCAACATCTTGTCTTCAATTATCATCAATAGTTTTTTAATACCAATATCTATTTGAATAGGGTGATTTTGTTAAGAGTTTCAAGTGATTGTTCTTTTTCATCATTATTGAATAATGGCAATCTTTTGAATACAAGTTCAATTGAACTCAAATCAACAATATTTGGTGCTTCAATTTCAGAATTGAAACAATCCGACATATCCAATTTGTTGAAGAACCCACTTTTTATTGGTAGTGGCTAAAATTAAAAGATATCGTCCCTAAAATGATTTGTTGATTATTATATATACATACATGTATATAAATATAAATACAACTTTATTTACTAATAACTACTTACTTTAGGTCTTTTTTTGAGTAAAACCAATAATGTTTGTAAGATGGAATTAAAAAATATTGGTCCAATAGTACCCAATCTGTATGATTTTTTTTATTTATAATATAACAAATTAATAATGGTTATTCTAGTTAAAAATCTTTAATTTCCTAAAAATTAGCTAATATACCTAGTAATCTTTCAATGTTATCCATGACTATGACACTTAATGGTGATTTATAAGAATCATAAAATTCATTTTAATCTATACCATAAAAACTCTAGTCAATAAAATAAATTTAAAAAGGTAATCAATCAATACTTTGTTTATTGTAGTTATTTTAGCTGATTTTGAATATCCAACCATACTTTCTGGAGAAATTAATTTTATAAAAGGAAATTCTGATGTCATTGCCATTGTAGCTGCCAATGCTGTTTTACCACTGCTAGAGGGTCCTAATAATATATCAAATAAAATCAATATATTGAAATATATTAAATATATTATCATGTATGTTATAACTTTAAAAATACTATACCATATAGCAGAACACTGACAAGTGGAGTTATGGAACTTTTTTAACTTGTTCAATAAGAAGTCATCCACCTGATAATATCTTCTAAACAAATAAAAATTATATAATAACACTTGAGAATATATATATATATAAAATTTGATTATATTTTAATTCTTTACCTCAATATGTGATGTGATGCAAATAAAATAATTTTATTTTAGATGCACTGTTTCAACTCTTTGTCACTGACACCAAAAGCTGGATGCACTCATCCAATGCTTGCTAGAAAATTATTCCTATTCACTTTCATATCTTCAACATCTGGCATCACTCCTGCAAGTGTTCCTATTTTAAAATGTCTATTAAATGCAAATGAACTAGCACTCTAAAGAAGTCTGTTGATTTCTGCTCCACTAAAATTTTTGGTCAAACTAGCTAATTCCTCAAGATCAACATCTTTATCCGAAATATCATTTATTTTTGTCTATAATTTAAAATGTAAATAAATAATAATTTGCTTATTATTTATTAAACAATTTGTTTTTACCTTTGAAGTATGAATTTTCAATATTTGTAATCTTTCTTGTTCATCTGGTAAGCCAATTTCCATATGAACTTCCAAATGACCTTTTAAGAACCAAAAAAAAAATCATTATAAAAAAAGCCTTCATTATTATTATTATTATTTTCTTTTTATACAGATTAAAACCAACCAGGATGAAGTATGGCCTCATCAATCAATTAGTCATACCAAAGATTATACATTGATCAGTTGTTCAACACCATACATCTATATATAATTTCCCAATTTTAATCTTTATAAATTATCATTGTTATCATTTAAAAAAATGCCTTTGCCAATAATTGATTTACAACACTATCACTGACACCAGCTCTACTACCAAAACCATGTTGTTTACATATAGCATCTAATTCATCAAATATTATAATATGTCAAGCCTCTTTTTCATTTTTATCTACACCAATTCCCATTGAATAACACCAGGCAACACTATATAATCCCCAACTATTACCTTCCTTTGTACAATCTTCAAATAAACCAAATATTTTTCTCCAAATATTTTCTCAACTAATTATAATTCCAGTTAAAAATATTTTTTATTTTATCCTTCATAAGAAATTTTCATTATTGTTACAAACTCTTCATGTGTTAGATTCCTAATTTTTCTACTAAACTATGAGGGTAAATTCTAGAAGCAAAAGCATAACGAAATATCATACTAATTTCTGAATTTAGGCCACCAATTCCCATATCCTCAAATTTAAAATCAGGCTGTATAATGCATGTACCGATTGATTAAAAAATAAAATGTAGATTATCTATCATGCTTTTTTAAATTAATAACTAGAGTTAACAGCAATAGTGGCAGTATTTGCATGCAACCACTCCACCTTTAAAAAAAAAACACTTGCGCATGAGCTTCTTCATGGACTTTTATTTTGTTGCTTGTTTCTTTTCTTTTTTTTTTTTTTTTTTTTTGAAAAAGAGATAAAAATAGTTATTATTAATGATCGATAAGATCAACAGGAATATTTTAAATAATAACGAGTCATGAGTAAACGCAAAGTTGATAAAACAGCTGATCAGATGGATCAGATGGATATAACCGAAGACGAAGAAGTAGCAGAGGAGGATGGTAATGAACAAGAAGAGAATTCTGATAATTCTGATAATGAAATATCATCAATTACAATAAATTCACTACAAATTACTGATTTTTCTTATATAATATGATCCCTAATCTATAATCACTATAATTAATATTCAGTATCTAATAATTTAATGTATTTATTAGGGAGAAGAAATAATAAATGTTGATTTTGATTTTTTTGATCCGAAAGATAGTGATTTTCATTCAATAAAAACTTTGTTAAAACAATTGTTTTCTTCAGATTCAGAGTTGTTTGAGTTGAGTGAATTAACAGAATTAATTGTAAATCAACCATCAGTAGGCACAACTGTTAAAGTGGATGGAAGTGACTCTGATCCTTTTGCATTTCTAACTGTATTAAAATATCAATGAACACAAGGTAATAATTGTTGAAAATAATTCATCATAATTGATTATGAATTTATTAATTATTTTATTTTTTAGAATAAAAAATGCACGAAGAATTATTTATTAGAAAAAACTAGTAAAGGTGTAAAATTAAATGAAATGCTATTAGAGCTATTCGATCAATAGTCAATAACAGCAGTAACAACAGTAATAATAATAATAGGAATAGGAATAAAAATATTGGATTAATATTAAGTGAGAGATTGATAACCAGTGGAAATTATTCCACCGTTGTATAAAATAAATGCTTCAAGAAGAAATTGAGGATGCAATTGAAGATGTAAGTAAAATAAAAAGATTAATATGAACACTTGAAATAATAATATTTATTTTAACCAATTATTTGCCATTAGAATAAACCATTTGAATTTGAATGGTTTCTTATTATAACAAAAGTTTATAAAGGAGTTGAATCTATGGCAGATAAAGAATTGGAAGAGGAACAACAAATAGGAAAAAGAAAGAAGACTAAATTGGTATATATTATATTTAGATTCAGAGGGATTTTAACATATATTAAAAATATTTAATTTAATGAAATGTTTTTTATTTTTCTAGTCATCATCCGAATCAAATTTTTTTTATTTTCATCCAGAAGATGAAATAATTGAACAAGTAAATGATTATATATAATTATATGATATTTAATTAATTTTTATTAATTAAATGTCTCTTTTTCATTCGTTGTCTTTTTCTACAGAATCAGATTTCAAAAGAAGTTTTTATGAATTTGGTATTTTACCCTCATTAAAAATATTTCTATTGCACAAAAACAAATTTAACAAATTGGTAATGGATTTGGAAATTGCCTGTAATAACAACTAAAATTCGCATTACAAAATAAATAAATCATTGTTCTCTTATTATATTATTTTATTTTATTTGCCTGTCTATCCATCATATAATATACAAAAGATAAAATTACATTAAGATTATTTAGATGATTTTAGATTATTACTGATATTTCAAATTAACAGCCTTCCCAAGTAATTGGCACTACTCCATCATCTAGATCTGCAATTTTCTAAATGATAAATGATATGATTTTTAGATATTTCATATAATAAATTCAAAAAAATGAATAAAATAAGATAAATTACTTTGAATGCTCTAGGTGATAAATCAAGGTCGCCTTTTTTACACCCATCACACTGATATTGCAGAACATTAAATTATTAATTAATTAATTGATCATTGATTGTTTTTTAAAAATAAAAATAAATAAAATAAAAATACCCTGTCAACTATTTTCACTTTAACACTTCCTTTTGGTCCTGTGACTTTTATACATATGCCACACACTGGTGATTCATCAGAATTAGCAAATTTACCATATTGTTCTTTATTCTAAAGTTTTTTTTTAAAAAAAAACCATTTTCATTATATTATTATATACCAAATTGTTTTAAAAGGAAACAAAATATTACTACTATTTACCATTGCTCCAATTAATTCGTTATCGTAATGTTGCTGTCCACATGCACTAATTGCAACATTCGGATCTTTTTTATTTATTAAAAAATAAATTAATTGATGAATTGACAAAATAACATTATTTTTTTATTTAAAAATAAAACTTACCATAAAAAGTTGCATTGCCTTTTCCACTTAACTGACTGCCAGGTTTACCAGTATCGTCTCTAGAAGAAAATCCACCGACAGCAGCAATAATAATAATAATTAATAAACCAATCAATAATAAAATCAAAAATATTATTATTATTATCTTGTATTTAGCAATCCTGGGAAATTTTTTATCAAACCATGTATTAAAACTTTTTATTTTTAACATTAATTTGGAGAAAAAGGAGGGTTTTTTTGTTTTTTCTGGCGAATTTGATTCTATATCATCATTTTTTTTAAATATATTTCGCATGATTATTGATTTATAAAGAGGTTAGACAGGAAGAATTTGTAATTTTTTTATATTATATATATACCAGTATATATATAATAATTTTTAAAAGAATGCGATTTTTCTTATTCAATAAGAAAAATTTAAATTTTTAAAAATTTTTACAATATTAAAAACCAAAAAAATTAACCGGTTAAATAATAAAAAAAAAAAGACTTTATTTCCATATTTGCATTCACAATTCACAGATGATGTAATCTTTGCATTTTGTTTCGATACATCTCGGTTTTAAAGACATTCTTTGTATTCAATTCATTCCTTCTCTATATAATTATAGTTTTAATTATTATGTAATTGAATGCGCATCTTTTTAAAGTTTGATCCTTTGTGGGCTCGTGTAATATATTAATTAAACGCACGGTCAGAGGAGCCGATCCTTGAATTTTATACTTGTTTAATTTCCTAATAAATAAAACAAATATTAATTAATTCGACTAATTATAAGCATGAAGTTTTAAAAATAACATCAGATCAAACGGATTCATAATAAAACAAATAGAACCATATTTTACCAGTCTTGCTTGAATGTTTCAAATAGTTTGTTATTGTGCAAACAAACGTTTTTTATTATGATGGGCGATTCGATCATGTGATATTATTGTGTAACTAGTACAAATTTCTAAAAAGAAGTTTAAATAAAAGAATCATTGGGGTTAAGATGATGATGAGCATTCAAATGAAAGAAGCGTAAAACACGGAACTTGTAATCGGAATAATGTGATCTAAATTTAGCTATTATTAACTGAAGGATGAACAAGTGGCATGAAACATTAGATGAGTTTGATAGTGTAATAAGCATTTAACAAAATTGTTTAAGGTGGATTTGCAACTATATAGATTACGAAAGAAAAAAAAGAATTAATGAAGAGTGCAGCATTAAAAAAATTACATAATTCACAGAATATTTCTGATGAATTTCTTATATGAGTTTCAGATGCTTTTCATTATTATTATTGTAATTAACTATTTTACTTGTTTTTTTTTTATTCAAAAATTGATAAATCAAATAATAGAGAAATAAAAGATAAATATAAATATTTAAATATTATGGAAATACCAACTTTACCATGTGAAGAGGTTATTTCATTAATTATCAGGTGGGTTTTTATAAATGCACAGTAATAGTGATAGTAATAGCAATAGCAATAGTAATGGTAATGGTGATAGGTGATAGCAGTGATAATGGTAATAATAGTAATAAAGTTATTATTTAAATTTCATTTTTCATGTATAAAAAAGAAAATTTTAATTAAAGAATTTTTATTTTATTTTTTTGTGTGTGATGAAATGGATCAGTTATTTTATTTTAATTTGAATTGATTGATTCCATAATATTAATTTATAATACATAACATTTAATATATAATGTTTAATGATAATATATAGTCAATTATGTGAATATGGCTATACACAATTACCAGAATTATAGCAGAACAAACAGATAATCAAATTAGCTTAACACCTAGTTCCAAATTATCAGAATTACTTTACATTGCAAAAGGGCAGATTGAGTAAGTATGTAGTAACAACAACACATGATATATTGTAAATCCACATTAATAATTCTTTTTTTTCTTTTTTAGATGAAGGTGGTGATGAGGAAATGAGGCCAAGTGAAATGTTAATTGATGATGTTGTTGATAACGATAATGATAATGATGGGTCTGTTGCTGCTGCTTCCACTGATGATGATGATGATGTTAATAATAATAATAATAATAATGAAGTTTTGCCACATTCAAAATATCTAAATCTATTGATCCAGAAACCAAAAATAGTAATAATTGATTAATTAGTTAATTAATAATGTTATATTTCATGGAAGTAATTGAGTTATTTTTTTCTTTAGCACCAAGACCTGCACCTAATTATTCAACTTGGTACATGACTACTCATAGAGCTGCTTCTATATATGCATGTAATTAATTCACTTATTTATTCATTTGTTCAATTTATTTATTCATATCCATATTTTTATATTATCAGGAAAATATGCAGCAACTGGGTCTGCTGATGCTTCACTTAAAGTTTGGACACAAGCAAAATGAATAGTTGTTCTGATGAAGACAGGCCTGTCATATGAACATTATATGATCATCTTGCTGTAAATATTTGCTTAATTTTCAAAATTTTTCAATATGATTCATATGTATAATATATATTTATTATAACAACAATAATAGGAACAGATCATGAATCTGTAAGAACTTATGATGTAAAAAATTTTCAATCTTTTATAGCATCTACTTCACCTTCTGATCTTCATAAAAGTGGGATTACAAAGGCAAATAAATGATTTTCTAAACTATTATATATTTAATATATTATGTTGACTTAATTTTATCTTCTAATATGTATATAGATCAGATTTTCTTCCAATGGGTCTCAATTTGTCACATCATCACTTGACGGAAGTATAAAAATATGGGACACAATTAATGAAGGTTGTATAAAAACCATTGAAAATGCTCATGATGGTGCACTTGTGTCAAGTGTAAAAATTCTCTAAAACTGGAAATATGTACTTTCTGGTGGAAAAGATTCAACTGCTAGATTATGGGAAGCCAATAGTGGAAAATTGATTTTGAAATATGAAGGTGTTGTTCACAAGTTAATGAATTGTTTATTCTAAATGATCTAAATAGTTGCTAATATAACAACGAATCTTGTTTTTTTTTTTTAGAATCAATCCTTACAGACAACATTTACTTATAATGAAGATTATGTTCTCAGTAGTGATGAATTAGACAATACAATCATTTGTTGGGATTCACATACAGGTCTTTTATTTAAAAAATGGGGAGGTGAAATATACAAATCTAAATATTGGTATATTTATGATATGGGAACAAGAAAAATTAAACCAAAGTTTTCTTTAATAGGACATACAAATATTATATGATGTATTGCAACTTCACCAACTGAACCTGTATTTATTAGTTGCAGGTAGAAAAATTTAATTTCAATTGGATTGTTTGATTTATTTTGGGTTTTTTTCAATTAACATTTTGTTTTAACGAATACTATTATTATTCCAAAAGTGACGATTTTCATGTCAGGTAATTATTAATTTAAAAAAAAAATATGGAAAAAAAAATTTATGCATTAATATTTTTTTGTAAATATAAAATTATAGATATTGAATTTAGATTGATTTTTTAATGCTTTTGCTTCTCTTTAACTAACTTACATTATTATGTAATAATAATAAAAAATCATAAATACTTGCTTTGTGATAAAAAGAAATTCAAAAATTATTATTACATCAGATAAAGTGGACATGTCGTTACAGGGAAATTGCAGGGGTCTAAATTTTATTAATTAATTGATGTCCTTCATAACAATCACTTTGTCCTTAACTTTGCTGTTCAGGTTTTATTCAATTGACTTTTATTTGCTTTATCTAGGCTTGCATTCTGTTTGACCTTTTCTTCAGCTAATTCTTTGTTGTTTGTCTATTTCAGTTTCTTGCTGCTCTAATTTTTAATTTTACATATATAAAATTAGAAAGATAAATGTTAGAATAATTTGATTTATAAGCTTGTTAATAATTAACCAATGAAAGATTATAACTATCATTAATAAAATAGACAGGCAGGCATCTTCTCTTCAGTCTCAAATCACTATTTAAAAGTTTTTTATTCTTCAATTCATTAACTTTATCCAATTCACCAACCAAAGCATTAGCTTTCCTGGAAATAGATCCTGAATGGTGTGGTTGTACCAATATTTGCATATTTTGATCAAGTTTATCAGTGGCAGCAATTAAATTGGTATTTGTTATAGAAATTGACTATATTATATTAATATATGATTATTATTATTATTACAATGTCATTAAATGAATGAATGAATGAATTCATAATTTGGCAATAAATATAAGAAATTCATTTAGCTAATTAAGAACATACAAGATCCTCAAAATTTGCCTGTGAGATGCACCAACAAGTTTTTTTAAAGCAGAAATACATCCATCAAGTTCAACTGTCTTGGCTAAAGTGTGAATTTCTGCGGTTTCAGGTGTGTATAATATAACTCATTTATAACCATCTAATTTCTTCATAACAATAATTAGTAATTAATAAATCAATAAATTAATAATATTATTATTATCATCAACAAATAAAATATCTTTTTTTGCAATTGCATTATCCGAATCATGATCATTAGTTTCAATCACAGTTGATATGTCATAATCTTTTGAAATTCTATTTTCCTTGGGAACACCCAGGTGTTTAAAAGATTGTAATTGATTGATTGATAAATTTCATTCATTTCAGCTTGTTTTATTATTGTTCCTTCCTTTTCATATATAGAATCTGTTTCACTTATATTTTGAGATAGTTGACTAAGATCTTTTTGCGAACTGGATTGTTCAACAATAGCACTGTGAAGAGGTTTTTTAGATTTTATTGATTATCATTCTATTGACATATGTATATTTGTTAGAAAGAATGACGATTAAGTGACTATGATTCACACAATCATGTAATTAATTGCATTATTTATTTTATCTTTTCCAATTCTTCATCAAGTTCTTGAGCTTCAAAAATTGAATCTTCACAATTTTTGTACAGGAGATGTATTCATATTCATTTGTATCTAAAACAGGATGTTTAACATGAACTTTGTACATGTTTTTTTTTACAATGAGTTATACTATCAGTGAAATCTAAAAATATAAATAGCATAATATAATTAAAATCATTATAATCAATGAAATATGGATGTATATTTTTTTATAGTTATATTCATATGTATATATCAGTTTCAGAAGCATCAATGATACTGCCCTTAAACTTATCAACAGCTTTATCTACGGAAATTTTTTCTTTAACTATATTTTCATTCAGTTCTTCGAGGTAATTTTAAATAAAAAAGATACTCTAAAATTTTGAAAAACCTTCTTATTTTAAAACAATTATAATAATAACAATATTATTTACCCCATTGTCTACAGCATCACTTTCTTCAGGTGTATCTGGAGATTCATAAACGTCTGGTTGGGTCTCTAAATATCAGTTTAAGCTGTTGCTATTACAATAAAATTTTGTTCAACAAGTGAGAACTTACAATGTCAGGAATATTACTATATTTACTTGATAATTGAGACTTTTTTTTAACACCTTAATTGATTAATAAACAGAGCGGGAAAGCCGACAGATAAAAAAAGCAAGGTCGAACAATAAAATGTGCGGTATTTTGAACATTAATCATTTTTCATAGCTTAAATTAAAATAAATCAGATATGAGAAAAAATGAATAATTTTAATATTAAAGTTGCATTTACAAAAAATCTTACTAACATTTTATTATTAAAAAATAAATGAATGAGAAGGGAACATCTTAAGAGTAAGCCTCGTTGTGTTATGAATTATTCTTCTTAATATGTTTCAATTAAAAAGAAAGAAATCACAATCGCATAACTGTGCTATGACCAACAAAACCAAATTCGTGATCAACCAAAGTCTCAAAATAAAAGAAAAAAAATCCAATGAGCTGAGAACAACTCATCTAATCCTTTTCTTTCTTTCTCTTTGACATAAGGAAGATTAAACGAATGGTTTATACCATATTATAGGTGACACTTTCTGTCATGTGTCCGAGGACTTTCCCCAAAGCAATTGAAAATAATTTTAATGTGAGCTAATATATATATATTGCTCTGCATGTAGTGCTTTGATAGCGATTCTTTAAGGTGTTCCCTCCCAAGAAAAATAAAAATAATTGGATGGGGTTTTGTAACATCACTTATTACAAATATGGTACAGATCATCTAGACATCAAAAAAAAATGGCCATCTTTAAAATGCTAAGGCTCAACAACTCTATATTTGGAGGTGAGAAAAAAAATACTAAAAAATATCTATTTTTCAATTTATTAATATTAATTAAAAAAAAGCCTTAGGGTTTGAAATTACATTTTATTACCCTAAAGATTGTAGCCATGCTTAAATTCATTCCATCCTCAGAAAAACAATTCAATCTTTCATATATTAGTAATAGCATTAAGGTAACAATTTATCAAATGCTTGTTTATGTTTGCCCATTGCTCCTCAAAAGCATCCAACTACAATCCCTATTATAAGGGCAATACTGTTAAGGTAAAATCTATCATTTGTAACATCCATATTGCTAATTTTAAATGATAAAAAGAATCAGCTGCAATGTGTATATACAGTATATGAAAAATCAAATAAATGATACTGCGAGTATGCAATATGAGTTACTTACTTACTAGTAGTCTTATGTTTGGCATATGGCTGTCTTATTTTGCCACCGATTTGCGGCCCATAATTATACCTATTGACATTAAGTCTAATTATCAACACACAGCTAAGGCTTACTTTGCCTCCTGACTTATGGTTGATTTCACTATCTTACAGCACATAGTCCGGATAGTCTAAATATTTGACACACAGCCAGGACTTACTTTGCCTGCTGACTTACAGTCAATACTTCTTTTATCTTATGACACACAGTTTAGATAAAAGATCCCTAAGTTGCTGCATCTGTTTATATTCCAAAGGCATCCTCTTGGCAATATGTTTATTAATATATATATGGGGCATACTGCAACAAAAACCAGACAGTGAACATTGGTAAGGAAATAATTATTTCTCCAAGAGCTTTGGACTCTCCTCTCATTGCAAATATATTGTATTTTTCATGTTCAAAAAAAAAAATAAAATAAAGTTTACCCATATACATAAGAAAAATAAAATTTGCATACATAATTGTGTTTATTTTTGCATGTATATTCTGAAATTTTATGGCATCAATGAATATATATAATTGCATTTACTTTTTACATGAGTATTCCTGGAATTTATAGACATGTTGTATGAGAAATCGAAATCTATATACCCACTTAAAAAAGAAACAAGAACAAATAATTGAAGTAAAAACTAAACAAGTCAAACCAACCCACACCAATTCTTTTTTACCAAATCTTTTTTTAATTTCTTTAATTTTTAAAAGATAACAAAGACATGCTCATCTAGGTAGTAAATTATTTCCCTTTCAATTTTCTTTACTTTTTAAATCCTTCATGTTTTGTGGCAAAGTAGACCTGGTGTAAATGGGATATTATAAAACTGTTAATTATGATCACACTAAATTTTGATCCCTGAAATTTTTGGTAATACCAATGCTCAATTTGTCTGGTTTTGTTGCAAGCATGCCCCATATGATCATGATATTTGTCTAGACAAAAATAGTTAATATGAAACTCATTTACATTATGTCTGCCATGAAACTCAAAGAATTATAGTACCATTAAAAGTATTTTGAAGAAAGAACAAGGTGAAAAAATTGCACCTTATATTTTCAAAATAAATGATATTCAGATACTGGAAGCTTATCTAGGGAAAGAAAGGATCACCTATGAAATTTACCAAGAAAGAAAAATAATAAACACTAATAAAAGAAACAAAAAACAGAAATCCTTAGAAGGAAAATAATCCTATTATTGCAAGATTGATCCTTTTTTTTTTTACTGATTATTACTATGTATGATTATTGCCGATTTTACTATTTATGGAATGACTAGAAATATTACATGACCAAACAATTTTCATCGCATTTTTTTCTTTGATTGGGTCAAATTGGGGGGCTAGATGACTTGCGACGTCGATCACATAAAATTTCATCGATTCTTTCAATTAAATGGATTCTTCAAAGACCAAAATGTCAAGTAAAAAAAAGAAAAGATTTGAAAAATATCTTGTATGATGCTCACAATAAAATTATTCAATTAAAATAATTGAGTCTTATATTCAAATAAATAATTGGTAGTTTTTTTTAGGAGAAAAAATTGAAAAAAGAAGAAAGAGTGGATTTATTTGAGAAGCTCTCAAAATCATCTTATTCTTCAAATTTAATGAAATCAAGTAAAGATCTGGGAAGAAAGGTGTCCATAAAAAATAGATTTTAACAATCAAGATTCGATTCGATTTGATTCTATCTGATTCGATCTGATTTGATTTGATTATGTGCTAATTTAATTTTCATACTACACTTTTAATAGAAAGAAACCAGGAAAGAAAAGCTTGCCTTAAAATATGGTAAACATGGTATAGATGAGGAAGAATCGATATCACCACCATTTAAAAAAAAACATAAAAGCATTAATAGTGCAACTGTAGACATGGTTGGAGAAAAAAGTAAAAATGCTATTAATGAATTCAAAACTACTGTTAACCAGGTAACCGATCTTCTTTGAGATGCTTAAAGAGTTTACATCAGAATCTTTTTTAGTCTCAATTATAATTATTTGCATGAATCACTCATAAATTATTTTTTGTTATAGATTGAAGAAATACAGGCTGCAAAGTTGGAAAATATTAATAACACAACTACAGACGTGGCCGAAGAAAAAAATAAAAATAAAAAAACAATAACTTCTGTTAAAAAAGTAATCAATATTACATTACTATTTCTGGCATATAGCCTCAATTGTGCTGTTGTACCTATTTAATTATTTATAGACTATTATTTTATTATAGGCTGAAGAAATACAGGCTACAAGATTGAAAAATATTAATCATGCAACTGCATACATGGCTGAAGAAAGAAATAAACATACCAATAACAACAAATCAAAAACTTCTGTTAAAAAGGTAATTGAGTGCTTAAGGGTAGGGGAAACCACGTGCCAATCGTGGATCAGGATCCGCAGTACATTCAGATGATGTCACATGATTCACCCTATCTTAAAGATTAATCTAAATCATTCAAACTATTTTTTGTTATAGACTGAGAATATTAATAATGAAACTACAGACATGGCCGAAGAAAATAATAAAGATCTTGTTAAAAAGGTAACTGGTCTTTTTTAGAAGTTTGAAAACTTTTGCAGCTTTTTATTCAGAGTTTCAATTTTTGGGGGCATTTATGGTTAATTTGCATCATTAATCACACATAAAAATTTATTATTACTATTGTAGGCATTTTATATCCCAGTTGAAAGGTCTGAAGAGATCCAGACTGCGAGGATGGAGTTACCCATTTGTGGAGAAGAACAAATAATAATGGAAACAATAAGTCAAAACTCAGTAGTAATAATATGCGGTGAAACAGGTTCAGGAAAAACAACCCAAATACCACAATTTTTATATGAGGCTGGTTACGGAAACAAGAATAGTGGTATAAATAAATATAAATTATGTATTGATTTCATTATTTCATAGCAATATATTAATTTTTTCCCTCCTCCAGATAATCCTGGAATTATAGGAATCACCCAACCCCGTCGTGTTGCTGCAATTAGTATGTCAAAACGTGTAGCATATGAGTTATCATTGAGTGATCAAGAAGTATCTTATCAGGTAGGTGTCAAAAGAGGGGTTTTTTTGTGGTTTAAGATTAATCAGTTAATAAATTTTTTTATTAATAAAAATTTATCAGATTCGTTATGATGCGACAGTTTCGCCTAAAACTGTTATTAAATTTATGACTGACGGCGTTTTACTTCGTGAACTTACTAATGATTTTTTACTAACAAAATATTCGGTCATAATAATTGATGAAGCACATGAACGAACTTTAAACACTGATATATTAATTGGTGTTGTTAGTCGTGTTTTAAATTTGCGAAGAGAATTGAATCAAGATGATAAAAACAAAATCAAGGTATTTATACTTGCTTTTTATAATACGTTGAATCTAAATCTTTATTTTTAATTTATATTCGGATTTATTTATCTAGCCTTTAAAGATTATAATTATGTCAGCTACTTTAAGAATTTCTGATTTTACTGAAAATAAAACGCTTTTCAAAATACCACCACCTATAATAAATGTCAATACAAGACAATACCCAGTATGTTTTTGAACTTTAAAATATTCATTTATTAATTAAATAAAAATGTTGTCAAACGAATTTAAACAACTTTTATAGGTTTCAATTCATTTCAACAAACGTACTCCTCATATTAATCATATTAGTGAGGCTTTTAAAAAAGTTTGCAAGATTCATACAAGGCTTCCACATGGAGGTTAATATACTTTTTGAATAAAAATATACAAATTCTCGCACGAAAATCAAAAAAATCGATCG